TTCAATAAAAGTTTTTTTTTTTTTTGTTTTTTTTTTTAAGTGCTATCAATACAGCCCACTTGTATTGAACCTGTAGCAATTTTAATGTCATGAAAGCAATTCATTTTTAAATCTTCTGTTCAAACAGGAGGTTCGAAAACTTCCAAAGATTTTGGATCGCATTCGCAGCACCTACCGACTTACGCTTCGGAAGTGCAGAATGGATGCTGAGAGAAACAAAGTCAAGCAGAAAATTAACACCTCTCTCAATGGACGCTTCCTCCTCCAAGCCACCCCTCGAAAATCAAAACCTGTGGCCAGGTATGCAATTATCTACTATCTATAAAACATTTTTTCCATAGTCTGTGTTGTAGGGAAGACACTGATACCATCAACCTTCTGATTTCCCTCAGGTTTGCTCCCGACTGGGTTCTACGGCGTGACAAATTAAAGGACATCGTGGATCCTCTTTGTGCCATTCAGATGCTGGCTAACGCTCTGGCTATTGTGCCTTGAAAATATTGCAGCAAGGAAAAATCTATAAACCTGTGCACTGCCAAAGTGTTTAATTGTTGCTCAGAATTGTGCACCCTTGTAAATATTGTGTATTTTTGTATTGTGAATATTTTGAATACTTTGTTTTATCAAAATGTTGTGGTCTTTATTGAGCATATTGGGGTCTGTGCTAAAAGATGGCATGTTAGCTCTAAGATTATGTAAATACAAGTGCAGTTTGGAATTGATTTATTTTAAAGCGCTGGAACCGAATATTAAAAAGAACCACAGCTTATGTTCTGGTGCCGTTCTTGACTGAAATAACAGAATTAAAACAACATGAGTGAGCCATTGTGTATTTTTTTTAAACTGTTCCTTGAAAACAAATCTGGCATTATACAAAAAAGAAAAATAACTATATTAGCGTCTGCACCAATAGGCCAAAATGTACGGTTTACTTTGAGCTCGTGCAGTTATGTAATATGCCGTTTTAAATGCTCCAGCTTCTAAAAGTCAGGTGGATTGTGATTGGCTGTAAATTTACATCGCATGAACTGGGGAAAAAAAGTTTCTGATTATTTTAAAGGGGTCATATGATGCGATTTAAATTTTTCCTTTCTCTTTGAAGTGTTACAAGCTCTTGGTGCATAAAGAAGATCTGTAAAGTTGCAAAGACTAAAGTCTCAAATCCAAAGAGATATTCTCTATAAAATTTAAGAGTCAGCCACGCCTACCTAAAACGTCTCGTTCTAACACGCCCCCACATGTCTACGTCATGATGTGGGAAGATTTGCATAACGCCGCCCAAATGTTCACGCAAAGAAAGAAGGCATAACTTTTATTCTCGCTGTAGTATTGTTGCTGCCGCCATGTCGAGACGCTGTGTGTTTCGTTGTGAAAGCGAAACTACTTTGGTCTTCCAAAAGAGGACACGACTAGAAATCAGTGGTTAGGTTGTATTTACAACACTGTTCCAGAACAGTTCAACCCAAATATTCCGATGTGTCCAGCGCATTTTATGGAGGACTGTTTCCTGATCCTGGGAGAGTAGACTACAATGCCGGCTGTTCTGACTCACAGACTGTAAGTACGTTTTTATATTTAAAGAATTTGCCACTGATGATTCAAACGCGAGTTTTGAGCAGTGTAGAGTAGCGTTTGTAGTTTGTCATTTCTCCGATCACAAATGCAGACATGGTTTTAGGTTTACGCGGCGCGATGCAATGCAACGTGTAAAAAGACTAAACACTATAATTAACTCTGGATTCAAGAATTAGCTTTTCATTAGGGCAACTACAAAGGATAATTTAATAGTTCTAATAAACTTTAATTGCATAAAAATATGAATTCAATAATTAAGAGCCTGCAGTATAATGGAATATTAATATTGTTTAATGCATTTTAAGTATTCAAAAATATCATTTGTTTTCGCCCGTTATTTATTAATAAATAATTTATTCCAATTGCCCTAACCCCAGCAAAACATTTATGGGGACTGTGTGGGCCAGATGGGCTGAATTTTAGCACCAGTCCAGCCCTGATGATTCTCCTCTTCTAGGGCCAGAAAGAAGACCTTCTAATAATAAAACTATTTAAACTAAACTCCTTAAGGGAGTTGTATATGCTCAAAAGTTGTTGCTGCTTCTGGAAACCTGTTTGTTTTGACTTCATATATCTGGTGTTAATGTATACATTTTTTTAATGTGTTGTAGCCTGGAATATTTAGTGTGCATACACATTGTATCTGTGTTTTGGAGATTTGATAAAAAAAACAAAAAAAACCCCGAATTATTCCTGTTGTACAAAACGTTGTGTCACCGAGATAGACTACTATGAAGGGGGCCCTTGGGTGTGCTATAGCCCCAGGGCCCTATTTGTTCTTAATCCGGGCCTGACCATAGACATTGCCCTACCTCACTTATATGGTATTAATTTAATTTGTGCAGGTCTTAAATTTGAGCCTAAAAATCCTGCAGATACCCTGAACTGAGCTAATGAGTGATCCTCTGCTGCCATCTACTGGTTATAATGGTCATTTCATGTCATCATCTTAAAAGTCACATTTTTCATGACATCTTCATAAATTAAAAATGAATCTTTAAAGTGAATTACATAAAGTGATTACATGCACTGACTTGCAGTATATAGGAAAAAATTTAAGGTTAAAAGGGTTAATATCATTTTCATACATCCTATAAATCTAAAGAATTATAAATTTAGTATTTCTTTAGTTGTTTGTTTGCTTTTTCTTGCAAGAAGTCCAAAACAGACAAACTGAATAGGGATTTTTTTTTTATTTTGATCTGCTCCATTTGTTTTTATCTAGTAGTATAGCTGATGCTTCGTCAGTGTTTTATTTCCACTGTCACACACAAACAGGCAAAGTTATCACTCCATCATTACACTTTTGTCTTAGGGCAAAACCTACTGAAACTTTGCCCCTCTGACACTTAAAGGTGATGTGATCATCATGTGGTGCGAACATATTTTGTTGATCAGTGAAGGCCAACTCAATTCCTCTTTCATCCATTTCCCATACTGTCACTGAACAGGGCACTGAAATAAACCCAACATGTCACTATCAGTGTCACAGTATACATTTATTAACTAATCATCACAACATACAACTTAAACTACAAGATTGCATCATAATGTATATGCATGATATATATGGTGTAGCATGTTTATACTTACTTAAACACTTAATATTCCCTCTCCATTCGCCTTGCTGACAGGTCAAGTATTTGGAGAAAGCGGGATGTGAATCCAATGTGTATTTATTAAAACACGTGTATTCAACTCAATCTCCTGTATTGTATTCCTTTTTTGACATTTCTACTGTATCTGCATTGTTCACGTGTGGTGGTGGTCCACATTTCCTTGAGACTGTCATCACCAAAAAAAAATAAAAGAAAAAAAATCAGACATTAGTAAATCTCTAATATGACAATGAGGTAATTGTACTGTAATGTTTTTTTTTTTGCTCCCAATTTCATTCATTTGCACATATTGTGAGATTTAAAAATAGAACATACCAGCGCACAGTGGATTTGGTGTCCAACCGTCTCGTGTACATGTGGCTTCTTCTGCCGTTTTCCCATACCCAGACTCGCAATAATAATTTTGTTTTGCTCCCAGTTTCATATCTCCTCTGAATAAATGGTCTGGGTGAGACACATGCTGGTCACGTGGAACTTCACATCTAATCCCTGAAACAAGATTCACATGCTTTTAATAACATGTAGTGAGTCCATCAGCAAATCCAGAAGTGTTTCTCTATAACCTTACCTTCACAAACAGGCTTATGATCCCACTCCCCATTATCTTGGCATGTAAATGTTTTGCTGGTTTCTTTATTAAACCAAAGGCGTTTTTTAGAGCAGGTGATTTCCACACTTTCTCCAGCTCTGAAAATAGTCTTTCCCTCTGGGTTGATCTTTTTTACTCTAAATGTGGTTGTCTGAAGCTCACAGGTTATTTCTGTACAAGACATAGTTATGTTGTTTTTTTTTTTTTTGTTCATTACACACTTGTTTCCTTTTGTATGAAGGTTTTTGTATTTAAGATCTTTCATGCCAGAACAGTGTGTAGAGAAGAGGTTTTTATTTTGTGAACCAACAAAAAGGACTATCTGTTATTTTAACAAATCACATTAGCTTTTGCTTTTTTAGCTTTTTTAATTTTTATTTATCTGAATAGCATTAGGCCTGTTTGTTACCTTTTGATTTCTTTAATTAATAATACTGAGGACATAACGTCACCCTTTAAGAACAAGTAAATCTCAGGGATTAAAAAAAAAAATCTATTACTAATTAAATTCAATCTTGTCTCTTATGGGAGGGAGTGTGTAGCACAGTGGCACTAAAATACTAAATTAATTTTAATTCTAAAGAGCATCTGATTGGACCAAAAAATGTATAGCACAGGTAATCAATATCATCAGTATTTTTGTATTGTATTGTATTGATTCTTTCTTTTTTTTCTCCATTCTCATGGTTCATGTTTGGTGGTGGCCCAGGTTTTATTTTTAGACTGTCATCACCAAGCAAATGTGGCATTAATAAATCTTAGTATTAGCCAGATTTCGTTTTATGCTGCTAAACCATATAGTATGTTAGAACTATTAATGACTATGAAATAGTCATTGTTAATGTGTTTAAAGAAAATTATAATTCTGTTGAAGTGTTTTTAGTTGCTGGTTCACTCTGATTTTCTGAAGAAAATCTGACTGGCATGCAAAACCTGCTGCCACATTACTAGTTCATAACTTTGTGGTTGCCGTGTTGTTCTTGATGTTGCTTCCTGGCCCAAATCAATAGAGACTTAAGACCTGATGAGTTATGTGCCAATTTGTGCATAGATTTTAATGAGCAAAAGTTATGCTTGAGATAATAATACACTGACAACTAATTCAACGCTTTTACCTTCTCTGCAATTACCTAAACATTTAGGGAATGGGCTGCTCCATTCTCCATTTGACTGGCAGGTGATTTCTCTCTGTCCTTTTAAAATCAGTCCTTGTCCGTTGCATGAAAATGTTAAACTATATCCAGGTTTGACTGGACCCTCAAGATCAGGGAATCGCTCCATTTTGATGTTGTTCTCTGTTGTGTTTAGTGGACATGTTACTTCTAGAGAGAGACGAAATACTGGTCATTGCAGTGTCCTCCATCTGGACTTATTTATCCATTCATAAGTAGTTGTCATTTGTCTTAATAAACTAGGTGAAACATTAAATCTACAATTTTTATAGGGGAAAATCATATAAGTTCACGAAATTAACTTTGTATCAGCAAGTCATATTTTTGCTGTATAGTGGAGACTGGGGCTAGTCACCTGTCAACTCACTAAGAGATGAAGAAAGTCAGCATACAAAATCTTTATGTTTGATGCATGAATGATTGATGTTTTAATGAATAACGGATTGATGTTAACGTTGTCATTACCTTTTTTTGATTTATTTCTTTCACTTTTTTGTATCAAGAATGTAATTTATATATTTTTATACATTATAAATAATAAACATTTCAAAATGTTTTAAAAACAATTCTTAAATATTTAAAGCAAATATATTTGCTTTATATTACAGTATTGCTTCATACCTCCACATATCGGATATGGGTGATCCCATTTTCCATTTGACAGGCATTCAATTGTTCGTTGTCCATGCATCTTCAGGTTCACATCAGTGCATCGAAAAACTAAAATATGTCCAGGTTTATAAGGTGAAACGATGCCTGGATGTCCAAATAAAATGTCAACGTTGATGAGTTGTTCCCCCTCACAGGTAACTTCTGTAGATCAAGAAATACAAGTCAATCATTATTAAAAGATAGCTGTTATAGTTTTACTGAAATAAAGCAGAGCAG